ACACAGACTTTTTGTAAAGGACCTATACACACTTTTCAGGGCTACGAAAATGGCCCTTGCTCTACAAGTAAAAAACTATCTATTTTCTTAATTGCTGGTGATTTTTGGTACTGATATAGAACTATTCCATATTGTTCCAATTTGCTAATTGTATTGAATTTAGTGGTTTGTTCTGACTAAATACGTGTAAATTTTATTATATATCTCTGTTAAATCTTTGGATATGACGATCCCGCGAAATACACGTGGATGTATACAATACTTGTAAAATTGAAAAACGTGCAGTACGGTCATATTTTGTAGTTTTTAGTTTAAATACAGTCTAAAAAGTGGGAGGTCTATACAACAATTTCCCATAATTTATTTTTTGACGTTCTATTACATATGTAAACTTTGTCAAATTACAAATACTCAACCAAATGCACAATATTTTATGACACTATCAAATGGAAACTGCCATATTTGTAAAAATAACAACAATATAGAAACCCTGCAACACTTGTTTTTAGTCGTTGAACATCAAAGTTAATTTTAAACAAGCTTCAAGAAATACTTGAATATGGTCGGGTTGTTGTCTCTTTGACACATTCCCCATTTCCATTCTCAATTTTAATTTAATTTAATTTTATTATCCAATCAAACATAGGAATAGATCATCCTTTTGTTGAAAAGGACATGCTGTTAGGAATAAACACAGGAATATTCAAATATGACATTTTTCGAGACACAATTATTACATATTCTAAATGGACTCGATGGTAAATTAGGATAAAATACTACACAACGCCTATAGCACCACAAGATATTTATAATATCTGTAAATATAACCTAAACAAGAATGTGTCCATAGTACACGAATTCCCCTCTCGCACTATCATTTTCTACGTTCAGTGGACCGTGAAACTCTAATTTGGCATTAAATTTAGAAAGATCATATCATAGGGAACATGTGTGCTCAGTTTCAAGTTGATTGGACTTCAACTTCATCAAAAACTACCTTGACCAAAACCTTTAACCTTACTTGACCAAAAACTTTAACCAGACACGGGACAGACGGACGAACGAACGGACGAACGAACGGATGCACAGACTAGAACACATAATTCCCCCACTACTATCGTAGGCGGGGCATAAAAATAATCTAAAAGATGTTCTTCAATTAAAAGGCAATGACATCATCGATATGACAAAAAATTAAATCAATGATAATGAAAATTTAGACAAAAAAATAATATTAACTTTAAACGAAGTTATTTTATTTTACAGTTTAGTGTATAAGACTATACACATTATTAATAGAATTGAAAAGGATGCTTCTAACATATATTTTTGAAACTAATTGTAAATCCAAGGTAAAAAGGGGACTACATTTTTAGCCTACTATTACCCCTAAATAGATGGTTCATTTTGTAAACAGGAACCCTTAGCTTGTTACATGGACGACTAAGGTAATTGTATAAGAAAATATTTAGGAATAAAACGTTTTTGTGTGTTGAAAAAAGAAAATAAAAATGTTTAAGGTTTTGCCTTTTAAAGTTTTGTAAAAACGATACAATTCTAAACTGATTTTCTAAGATACTGATCGTAATAGTGAACCATTTTGACAAACAGTTTTATTTTTCCAAATTAAAAACTAGATCATCTGTTGACCTTGAACTCGATATACAGAATAACAGCTGTGGATAAGTTTACACGGATCGTATTTTAGTTAATGTTAAAGCCGGCTCGAGAGCTCCTGTTTCAACGTTATCTGTATGTTTATATAAAAATCATACCGCCATCTTGGATTGTACAATAGCAGTACACAATCGGTCCAGTTCTTTGCCTAAATTTTTAAATTTGCAGACAGATTTGCAATAAATGAGTAAGACTGATTATTTGTAAAAAGAAAAATAGGTGATTCATTGCATTATCCAAAATGTTTAAACAAAATCAAATATTTATGTTTTTAGAATCAATTTTTCAACTTGGCAATTTAAGGGGAGATAACTCTTATAGTAAAATTTGTATACTGGAATGATAGTGAAATTTTCATTTTTTACTTGTAGCAAGAAAACAAATTCGGTTACACCATGTTTTCTTTTTATTTTCTTAAAGCATATAATAAAACCTATCTTCTCATAATTTATTTCAAAATTCTATCTCATAGATTTCTTATTATTCACAAAAATATGTTTTTCCATGAACAATCTATACAAATTTGGGCGATTTTGCACGACGTGTAGCTTGAAAAATAGCACGGTGACCCATACTTTTTATTATATTTTTGAAAAAAACCTTGAAAATCTTCATTTCGGCAAAGTATAAAAAATTTCTTTCGGAGGAAATATGTACCGATGATCCACCTTAAATAAAGATTACTTACTTACTTACTTACTAACACTTAAATTGATTGATTATAGTTTGTTTATCGCCCGGTTTCAAATATTTCATGCATATTCATGACGAGAACAAATAACAATCAATGGAATATGTAGGTTGTGCAAGGCTAGAAATTAGGACTGTTACTGGTAAATGGGTCGTGATGGATAGGGACTTTCGGAACCCTCAAATAGTTGTAGCAACAGTTCTTTAACGTGTATTACAGTCACCCTTCAAAAAGCATCAGATTTAACGTTCCTTTTCCAACCGGACGTGGCTGCGTATTTGTATATCCCGCACAGCATAACGGACGCCCCACTTTAGCAAGGGTTTTACTGCCTGACAGTTTCAGGCTGGGTTGACCATATTTCTATACCCCAGTGAAAATTTTGTGAAATGAATGTGAAGTCGAAAACTTTAATGGCAAAATAAACATTATTATTGTTTCTGTGTTCAAAATTACGACTTCACAGCTAGGTAAAGCAATAAAACAATTTTATTTCATTTAAAAAAAACATGAAAAAACCTAACAAGTTCGTTGAAAAATATTTTGTCGTTTTTACACATTCTATCTAATTTGATTCATAATACATAATATAAAATAATGTCTCTATCCTTATATAAACAAAACAATTTCTTTAATCATCTGAAAATAACAATAGAATATGAAAGCAGACGGAATGATAGTTAAATGTTGAAATTCAAGAAAATTAATGATTTACACATTGTATACCAAGGAGTTATGGCATTACTACTAATGAGATAAATACCCCCCCCCCCCCTTTTTAAGACCAAAAAACAAGGATTCAAATAACTATTGGTCACGCATGTAACGGCCTTCAACAATGAACAATACCCATACGCCCGTAATAACTAAATGATTATAAAACTAATATACTTTCAGCTGATATGTTGTTTAATTTCTCATCTAAGATTTTGATAAGTCTTTTATTATTGTATTCTTATAAATTTTCTTTAATCTATTAGGAAAATACCAATTGATTTTCTGGGGGGAAGGAGGATTTTGGAAATAAATATCTTGACCTGGTAATAACTGGGGTTTTTTTTTTTTTTTGTTGCCAAAAACAGTATTTAAATGAATATTATACATCAAAATGCAGGAAATAATTTTGTACAAATTTGGAAATAAATTTTCGCGAGAAATAACTCAGCCATCCTAGCAACGAGTATTCAAATGAGTATTCCTCTTTAAAAATATCCTCATATACAAAATCAAATGGTCGTCCCCTTATATCTTAATTAAATTATTAAAAAGAAGAGAAACTATTTCAGTGCGATTCTAATACTCCACGCCTATCCCGATGGATAGATATGCACATGAAAATTGAATGGCCTAGAAAAGTACTTTATCGGTACTTCGAATGACATAAATTCGACTCACTTCGAAAAATTACGATGAAGGGTAACGGAATTTGTCGAGGTTTACCGATTGTCACAACCACGTCTTCTTTCCACCCTTCACTTTTTTCCCGTTTAAGAAACCTTTTTAAAAAGTTTCTTTATTGGAATACTTGAACTGCAGACAACAGAAGTAAAACTACAAGTAAAACAACACTAAAAGACAAAATAAAATCAAAATGTCTAAAATAATCACGTGACTCCGCATTTAAAACCTGAACAATGACACTGACAACTACTAACGCAAACGATTAGTGCGGAGCACATCTGATCATAATTTGTTTCCTTATTTATAATTCATATTTGCAGATAGTTGTCGGTTCCTTATATGGATTTCATGTTCTATGAATGATGCCTGTAGTATCTGGAACTACCTTAACCACACAATAATCCATTTAACAAACAGCAGCACACGACACAGATGTATCAGGATTGCTTCTAAACTATGTGATCATTAACAGACTATGTGTCCCCCTGGATCTGATCATCAACAGACACGTTCCGAAATTAATTTCTCGTATCTGGTACCCTGTTACATTACAAAAGTTAATTACATGGAGAAACCTACAAAGACATTTCTAGTTTATTTGGACAGGTGATGTTAAATTTGACTAGACATATAAATAGTCTAGTCAACTCACAAAAATTTTGGTTCAAAAAGAGAACACAATTGTTATAGAAAATGAGTAAAAACGTATTTAAGTGAAGTTTTATAGATATATACATATTCGTTTTATAATTTAATTTTAAACTTTAACAATAGAAATACTTCTTATACTTTTCTCAGTCTCAGAATGACTGAAATGGACATGAACAGATCTAAATCTTCAGTTGGATATTATTAGCTTGCTTTTATTACCCTAGTTTTAATGGCATCGTTATCTCTGTATGCTATAAACAGTGGTCAGTTCAACAGATTCAGGGGAAACAAAATTATTGAACGCAATATTGTGAAATCTTATACTGTAGGAAATACTGAAACTGGAAGAATAATTGATGCGGACCATTAAAATGCCACAAATGGTGTGAATCAATCCAAACTAAAAGTGTCAAAGTTGAAATGCTTTGGACATGAATTTGAAATTATTCTTAATCAGAACAAACTCTGTGAGAAATCGCATGATATAGACATGCTCATTTTAATACCAAGTTCCCAAAAACAGTTTAATGAGAGACAAGCCATAAGAAAATCATGGGGATCCGAATGTAACCGAAACGACATGGCAATAAAGTGCTTATTTGTGATCGGAAATCATCGGTTATTTTCGGATGGAACTCGTGATTCTACGAGGGATTCCGGTTTGCAAGAAGAAAGTACATTATATAAAGATATTGTGCAAATTGACTATATCGACTCATATGGAAATTTATCATACAAAACTGTGTTCAGTATATCATGGGCCGTGAGATATTGCTCGTCAGCTAAGAACGTTATGAAGACAGACACCGACATGTATGTAAATACATATCTACTCCCCTTTCTCACAAAAAAAGCGCCAACTAAGTTAATAGGTGGATATTGCTAGGGTCCTTCCACCCCACACAAAGATAGAAATTCTAAATGGTACGTGTCGTTTAAAGGCTATAAGGAGAACAAATTTCCTCCAATGTGTTCAGGAACTGGATATATTATAAGTATGGACTTAGTCCTGACTATTTTACAGACGTCTAAGTATATTCCATTCCTTCATCTAGAGGACGTGTACATTGCAAGGTGCTTGAAAAAAATGCGTGTTACACCAACCTATTTACTTGGTTTTAACAATATGAAACCAGGCTTCAATCCATGTTCTTATAAGAATGATATCATTACATCACATGATGTAAAGCCAAAAGAACTGGATATTTATTGGAATCAGATTAAATCGTTTAGTGTTTCGGTAATACCAGAAAATGTATACAAACCACGCCCATTGCTGAGAGTTCATTGATAATCAGACTCTACTAAGCATGTGTAGAGTAGTTAATTTCATGGTCATGTTTACAACTTATTCAAAAATTGATTCAGACTATTTCGACATGAAATTACTATTTATTAGAGGAGGGAAACCTATGTATTTTAACCAACCATTACCTTAACAATAAGAAACATTTTATTGGTGTAAAATCGAATGATATGATTGTCATCAAACCAAACATGCACCTAGTAAACATAGGGTTGAGCGCTCACAAACATGTTTAACTTCGCCTCATTCTTTATATGCCTGTCCCAAGTCAGGAGCCTGTAGTTCAGTGGTTGTCGTTGGTTCATGTCTGTCATATTTGTTTTTCGTAAATTGTTTTGTTATAAATTAGGCTGTTAGTTTTCTCAATTGAATTGTTTCATATTTTTCATGTCGGGGCCTTTTATCGCCCTCAAACTATACGGTATGGGGTTTTCTCATTGTTGAAGGCCGTGCGGTTGCTTATAATTGCTTACATCCATTTCATTTGAACTTTGGTGGATAATTGTCTCGTTGGCAATCATACCACATCTCCTTATTTTTATATACGTACAGATCTCAATAAGACCACACATGCACCGAGTAAACATAAAATACATGCAACGTACCCATCATGAACTAGTATAATATTACTTTACTTATCATTTTCATTTATCATTTTTATTTTTAAGTGCATGATTAAATCCTTTAACAATAATTTAAGCATTGTCATACTCATATCAAATATTTCCGTCATGTGTGTACATGGATACTTTTTCAGCTTAACTTTGGCAGGAAGTTCAGAATATTTTTCTTCCTTCAAGCAGAAATTTCTTTGTAAACTTTGTTATAAATAGTGCTTTAGAATATGTTTCTATTATATATATATAATTCTTTACCCTTTATTCCGTCAGAATGAAATCCACTAACTATATTATCTTCCAGTGTAAAATAATACTGCAAAATATTTCTTCCATTTGGAACAAATATTATAGAGAAACTTTCTTTTCCATAAAAGGAGTATCACAAACCCCGACCTCTTTTTGTCAACATTAATGAATGCGACTAATCACCGAACGTTAGCTTATGATGAGCAGCATGGCGAGTGCCACAAGTAGAGCAAGAACTGCTTCCCCTTTTAGGGTACTTCAGGTCAATCCTAGTTTGTTTATGATGAGCAGCATGGCGAGTGCCACAAGAAGAACAAGAACTGCTTTCCCGTTTAGGGTACTTCAGGTCAATCCTACTTTGTTTATGATGAGCAGCATGGCGAGTGCCACAAGAAGAGCAAGAACTGCTTTCCCGTTTAGGGTACTTCAGGTCAATCCTAGTTTGTTTATGATGAGCAGCATGGAGAGTGCCACAAAAAGAGCAATAACTGCTTTCTCTTTCAGGGTACTTCAGGTCAATCCTAGTTTGTTTATGATGAGCAGCATGGCGAGTGCCACAAGTAGAGCAAGGACTGCTTTTCCTTTCACGGCTCTTCAGGTCAATCCTAGTTTGTTAATGATGAGCAGCATGGCGAAGGCCACTGGTAGAGCAAGAACTGCTTTCCCTTTCAGGGTATTTCAGGTCAATCCTAGTTTGTTTATGATGAGCAGCATGGCGAGTGAAACAAATAGAGCAAGAACTGCTTTCCCTTTCAGGGTACTTCAGGTCAATCCTAGTTTGTTTATGATGAGCAGCATGGCGAGTGCCACAAGTAGAGCAAGAACTGCTTACCCTTTCAGGGTTCTTCAGGTCAATCCTAGTTTGTTTATGATGAGCAGCATGGCGAGTGCCACAAATAGAGCAAGAACTGCTTTCCCTTTCAGGTACTTCAGTCAGGTTAATCCTATTTTGTTTTACTGGGTTTCATCGTCTCAATCTTTAGTTTTCTGTGAAGTGTTTTGTGGACTTGTTTATCGTTTTTACTTTTTTCTTGATGACCCTGGTTTTGTCTGTTTTTATTTGCCGTTAAATTTGGATAAACACCATGGCATCTTCTTTTTTTCTTTTTACAAGTAAATATAAACTGGTTGTTTGTGTCGAAACTGTGGAGTCCATGATAATTTTTTTTCTCAAGTTTTACAATGTTTCTATTACTTGTCCAGGAGATGATATTTATTTCTCTGTCTTTCTCTTCTTACACATTTATTTCTCTTTAATTTATCTTTATCTGAAGAAAATTTAAAATAATCTTTAATGATTTTGTAACAAAATGTAATTAATCTATTGTTTCAAAGTATATTGTCAGTTGGATTTCAGTGGACGTCAAGCATTTAATGTGACATTTTTAGTATTTTGATATAGCACATATTTTTGGAAACCGTTAATTTAATATTTGTATTGGTATATTAAGCATGATTGTTTTGGTTGTAAATATATTATAATGCATTTAATGTAGAAAAATCATGTACAATTTATGTTTTGTTGGTTTTTGTGAACTATAGTATAACTTTATAACTTTTGTTGAACCGGGAGACCAATGAGCAATATTATAGAACCGTAAAAATGAATATGTAGCATAATGATTTCTTCTTCTATTTAATCATAATTTCAAATCGTTGATCAATAAAACACCCCTGTTTAATCATTATTACAATTCGCTGATCAATAAAACACCCCTGTTTAAGCATTATTAGAAATCGCTTATCAATAAAACACCCCTGTTTAATCATTATTACAAATTGCTGATCAATAAAACACCCCTGTTTAAGCATTATTATAAATCGTTGATCAATAAAACTCCCCTGTTTAAGCATTATTACAAATTGCTGATCAATAAAACACCCCTGAGTAAGCATTATCTCTAATCGTTGATCAATAAAACACCCCTGTTTTGCAATTTTAAAAATCGTTGATCAATAAAACATCCCTGATTAAGCATTATTACAAATTGCTGATCAATAAAACAACCCTGTTTAAGCATTATTACAAATATTTGGTTCTTTCAACACGTCTGTTTCAGCAATATTACAATTCAACATTATTTAAATTTTATGTTAAAGCTTTCGTCCTGAACATGCATGCAATAGTTGCCACTGGACGTTAAGCAAGCAACAATCAATCAATCAATGTTTAAGCATTAGTAAATATCCAATTTACATATATTTCATTTCGTTTGAAAATGGGTTTTTCCCGTTTGGTATTTGTATTAATTATATATAGATGGGAACTAGTGTAACTAGTTCTGAAACTAGTTCTGCAAGAGTATGTACTATTTATAAAGTTTGATGGTACGTGCACAAGGCACGAGAAAAGTTTTGGCGGTTTCTACGGGTGGGGTTTTATGGTACTATATAAAGTTTGGCATTTAAATGTATTAGTATCGAAGGTGCTCGCAGTTACGTCGAATCGTCACGAAGTTAGTCACATTAGTATATATACAGTGGCTGTTTATTACATGTATTTATATATGTTGGTTGTATAAAAGAAACCTGTATTATAAAGTTTAATAAAATAATGTATCGCAAGAGAAGATAATATGTTACTGCGAGCAACTAGACCTATTTCTGTGTTTGTTTTGTTTAAAACCTATTGAATTTGGAGTAGAAATAATTTAAATTCGGACGAGCAGGGCGAGGGAGAATTTAAACATCATTCTTGTTTATTCCATTTATACAAGATTTTTGTATCAGCATCATTATAAATTGTTATATATTTGTTAATATGTCTAGAAATATATGTTGAAAACAACGTATTTGACTTCATCGAATTGAATAATTCGCCTTAAAGTGTGTAATTGTTCAGCAAAAAATCGAGGTTCAGTGTCCACATTTATATCAAATCAACACACATCTAAGATCAGGGTTTGCGTCAATGAGACAGAAACCCAAATAAAAAAAAACGGAAGACTGTAGCTGGTAACAAGATTTCAACATTAATAAGGTGTCCATATAATATTCTTATCTGTAAATCGTCCAGAGTCTATTAAAGCTGTGAATAAATGAATCAGAAAACAATCATGGAAGATCAGGCATCAACACACAACATCCCCTAAATAACAAAAAACCAAAATAAACAAATTCTGCCAAATCATAAAATAAAAAAAAAACAACATAACACGACAGTTTAAGACTCTAACATACCGCTGGAACATCGACCGTCAGCTTGAAAAGGGTCTCGATGTCCGGATTTTTTTGCTGAAAATTCTAACGTAAAAATATTAGATTTTTAATTTATAGAAAATTTATTCGTAATTTGGTTTTTGGGTGTTTTTTTTTTTTTTGCCGTTGCTTTTCATTGTAAAAGACATTTGCTGTTAACTGTGTGCTAATTGGCTCATTGTTGAAGACCTTGTTGTAAAGTGTTAATTTATTGGTGAAATGTTGAAGACCTTGGTGTAAAGTGTGAGTTTATTGGTTCATTGTTGAAAACCTTGTTGTAAAGTGTGAGTTTATTAGTTCATTGTCGAGGAATTTGCTGTAAAGTGTAAGTTTAATGGTTCATTGTTGAAGGCCTTGCTGATCAGTGTGAGTTTATTGGTTCATTGTTGAAGACCTTGCTGTAAAGTGTGAGTTTATTGGTTCATTATTGAAGATCTTACTGTAAAGTGTGAGCGTATTGATTCATCGTTGAAGACCTGATTGTAAAGTGTGAGTTTATTAGTTCATTGTCGAGGACCTTGCTGTAAAGTATGAGCTTATTGGTTCATTGATGAAGTCCTTGCTGTAAAATATGAGTTTATTGGTTCATTATTGAAACCCTTTCTCGAAAGTGTGAGTTTATTGGTTCATTGTTGTAGACCTTGCTGTAAAGTGTGAGTTTATCGGTTCATTATTGAAGATATTACTGTAAAGTGTTAGTTTATTAGTTCATTGTCAACGACCTTGCTGTAAAGTGTGAGCGTATTGGTTCATTGTTTAAGGCCTTGCTGTAAAGTGTCAGTTTATTGGTTCGTTATGGAAGACCTTGCTGTAAAGTGTGAGCGTATTGGTTCATTATTGACGATCTTGCTGTAAAGTGTTAGCGTATTGGTTCATTGTTGAAGACCTTGCTGTAAAGTGTGAGTTTATTGGTTTATTATT